GGGGGTCGTCTCTCGATGGGGCGAAATAGAGTCGTCGTCAAGATGCGTCTTTGGGGGGCCTCTTGGGGTCGGTTGAGAGGCCGTTCGGGGGCGCCTGGGAGACATGTTTGAAGCCTTCTGGGGCTTCTTTTTGGCCTCCTGGGAGTCTCCTGGGGCCTCTTGGCGACATCTTGGGGCCTCTTGGAGGCCTCTTGGGGCCTCTTTGGGACCTCCTGGGCGCCTTCTGGGACGGAGGGCTCCATTTTTGAGTTCTCGGTATCCCTCCTGAGTCCCTCTTGGGCCCGTCTTGGGGACTCTTGGTCCGTCTTGGGCGGCACTTGGGCCGTCTTGAGGGCTCTCTTGGGTCGTTTCGGCGCCGTCTTGGGAGCTTCGTGGGCCGTCTTGGAGCGGTCTTGGGGGCCTCTTGGGCCGTCTTGGAGAGTCCGGAAGCCGAAAAAGCCAGAACACAAAAAACATCGAAAAAACAAATGAAAATCAACGATTTTGGCCTCTTGGGGCTCTCTTCGGAGGCCTCTTGGAAGGCTCTTGGGGCGTCTTGGAGGCCTCTTGGGCTGTCTTGGGGGCCTTTTGGGCCGTCTTGGGGTCATCTTCGGCGTCGTCGAGCGCTCTTTGGGCGTCTCGGGGGCCTCTTGGGCAGTCTTGGGGGCCTCTTGGGGCACTCTGAGCGCGCTCTGGGTAGCCTGAGAGGCCGCACCCAGAAGGAAAACCATCTCTGAGTAGACTTGGTCGGGCGGCGACCGGGCGGCGACCGGGCGTTGGTCGGGGTACTTTTCGCCGGGGGACCCCCAGGGGCCGCCCCGCGCGCGCGAACTAGAAATACGGTTAATACTGTTAACCAGTTACCGGAGATCTTAGCACGCCCTGGCCCGTTGGGCCGGCGAATTATCGCTGTGACCATTATTATTACTACTACTACTACTACTACTACTACTACTACTACGACGACTACTACGGCGACTACTGCTCGCACCACCACTACTACTACTACTACTACTACTACTACTACTACTACTACTACTACTACTACTACTACTACTGCTACGGTTACGTTTATTTCGGCTAGGGGTGCGACTACTACTACTACTACTACTACTACTACTACTACTACTACTACTACTACTTCTACTACTACTACTACTACTACTACTACTACTGCTACTGCTTCTACTTCTACTTCTACTACGACTACTACTACCACCACTACTACTACTACTACTACTACTACTACTACTACTACTGCTACTACTACTAC